TTGAGTCACTTTACCAAAATAACCGCAAAAGAATGGCTAGGTATTTGAAATGCTAAAATGTAGTTTAGTGCAGCTACCTGCACGGCTTGGTCAGGGTTGGTCAGGGTTCAAGTTATAAACTGAGCTTTATGGGGGTACGCACGCACAAAAATACTCAAACACACACACACACACACACACAGCAGCCCTCTACTTGCTACAAACTTAAATATGAAAAGGTTCAACTACGCACACACACATCATCTCAGCTCGCGCAGCACGCTCACATAGCTCGCGCAATCATGTATCGCGCGCCTTGGAGGTGCAGCGCAGGCATATTGTCATTCAAGAGATCCGTAGTTCTTTGGAAAAAATGTTTTTCTTTTAGCCTATTTACCTCGTTAACGTAAATAATACTCATTACATTGACTCATGCATTATTTGTGATTCAAATAATGGTTGTTGGTAATGTATTAGCGAACCCCACAGATGTATGATTTCACTGCGTCTGAGCTCAGACCCCTCCTTGGGAGCTCCCGTTGGCTTCCATAACTCGAACCCTGGCTTCAGCCTAAACGCCTTAATAATATATGTCAGGCTGGACTCAAGCCTTTCAATGCACAGAGTATTTGTAAAAGCCAACAATGTGCCAGAAATCTGTTTTTAAAACGGCTAACGAAACATTTATTTACAGATGTTCTTGATGTAGCCTATTCTCTTCTAACTTCCAGTAGCACGCTTTTTATGTGTCAACCCTTTATTTATTGATATCCCCATGGCTCTGTCCCAAACTCTCACACTAAAACCTGGAGCTTTATTACTGCAATCAGACAGGAGTGACTTTAAATGACCCTTACAAATATGATTTGCAGACGTGTTTTGATTTTGCCGCTTACAATCCTGACGCTTAAATACAATTTGAGTATCGCATATCCTTTTTCAAATGTATGGTCAATACATCTAATTTACACAAATATAAACCTTATTTTTAGTTTAAAAATGCATAAATGTTGAGTCACTTTGACTCTAGTTAAGATCAGAGAAACAGATCTTAGACATGTGTTAAAGTAAATCATTTTAGAACAACTTTAGAATCACATATAATTTAGAAACGAGTCAAAATGTTTTTTTTTTAAAAGTGCTGTATCTTCCAGGCTTTTGTACCATGCACTAAATAAACTCTTCCTCTCATTCACCAATACAATCGTTGATAAAAGCTTCCCCCCACATATCGGTCCAGCTCTAAATCACTACATCACCTCATCAAAGAGAGGATATGAAGAGCTGGTATCGCTTTAAGTCATTTGCATGAGATATGTTAAGCTGAGTGGATCACTTTATCTCAGGGAAGTTAGAGATTTCTGTTGTAGCCAACACATCCACAGACTCCGATATGTTGCAAAGGCAGTGTATTTTATTCACTCCAAATGTCCATATATACCGAAAAAAGTAAAATAAAACAACAATTTCACCATATAGCCTACGTATCTGCAAAACCTTTAAAAATGTATATATTTAGGTGACATGACATTAAAGTATAGAGACGGGTCCATAGTGGCGGAAATAAGACGTGCCTCTGATTGTTATTGCGTGTTAGCTATCCATACAAAAAGCCAGTCATCAAACAAAGTCATGCAAAGGTTTCTGAGCAATATTCCATCATGTCTTTATTGACACTAAGTTCCAAACTATCTGTAATCTCGCAGAGTCACGCACAGCAACACCACACACACACACACACACACACACACACACACACACACACACACACACACACACACACACACACACACACACACACACACACACACACACACACACACACACACACACACACACACACACACACACACACACACACACACACACACACACACACACACACACACACACACACACACACACACACACACACACACTCACACACACACGCACACGCCTTTTCTCTGTACTAAACTTCATTCATGCCAAACAGAGAGAGAGATAGAGATTACGTCACGACCAGCAGCCAATGGAGCTGCGGAGCGCGCTATAAAGCACGAGCCATGCCTCTGTTTTGGGACATGAAGAGAGTAAACTCGGACTTAACTCTTCTAAAAGATATTTTTCTTTACGATCTTGACAAGTCTTCATCGGATCCGAGAGTTGTTCTGCTGTTCCCGCTTCATTAAGGTGAGTTCATTTATGCACGAGACGGCAGATTTCAGTGAGCGCGCGGTGATAGGAGCAAAGTGCTGAGTGGAGATTATTCTGCAAGCATGGCTGTTAATAAGTATACATTTGGACTTTGTAGTTGCAGCTTTAACATGCTTATTAATGTTTTAATATGTGGTTGCATGTTTGAGCATTAAGTAATAAGATTAACTAGATAACTAGCACTAATCCACCTTATGCATAAGGTTGCAAACGGTGTTTTTGTGCAGCTCAAGAGAACAATTAAGACCAAACACATGCTTATTATTGTTTGGTTGTATGTACAAGCGTTCAATAATAAGTAATACGATTTACATGGGTAACTACTTTTGCATAAGCTTGCAAAAAGTGATTTTGTGCAGCTCAAGAGAACAATTAAAACATCACACATGCTTATTATTGTTTTGATTTTATGTATAAGCGTTCAATGAGTCATATTGTAGTACGATTCACATAGATAGCTACTTTTGCATAAGATTGCAAAAAGTGTTTTTGTGCATCTAAAGAGTCCAATTAATATCAAACACATGCCGTGTGCTGCCTTCAGGTGCTGTTAAACTTCATGTAGTCAACATGTTGCACAACACTTCTCCTCCTCCCTAACTTCTCTCCTCTAATGCCCCTCCCCGTTGTTGTTAAATACCAACTATGTGCAATATATATAAATGCCGTTAATTACTGTGCAATATCTACCTGGCTGAAAATGCAGATGATGGAGAAAATAAAATAAGCTGGAGAAACAATCAATTAAAGAAATCATGCTTGGAGGCGTGTGACGCAGTGGATTAGTGCGTTGGTGTTGGGATCGGGGGAGCATGGTTCAAACCCCTGTTTGCGTGTTAAATACCAAATATGTACAATATATATATATATATTATAATATATGCCGTTAATAACTGTGCAATATATACCTGGCTGCTAAATCCTCAGAACTGTTACAGATGTGTATTTTGTAAATTGTGTAATTTTCTTACATTTTAATAATCTTTTTATGCATGTCTTTGGCTCTTTTCTGCTGTAACACATGTACATGTCCCCTCTGTGGGACGAATAAAGGTATTCTGACTCTGATTCTATCTCATGTCCAGGTTGTGCAGACGCCAGAAGAAACAAAGACAGAAAATAGAGAGTCTTCATCATGGTGCTCATGAATCTCCCAGTAATTGGAGCGGTGTCAGTTTCTGAGAGTCTGGTGGCCATGGTGACGATATGTCTGGCCTACTTGATCCTCAAATGTTTCAACGACAAGATCCCCGAGGGTCTTCGTCGTCTTCCCGGCCCGAAACCTCTTCCGATAATCGGGAATGTTCTGGAAGTGGGAAGCCGACCTTATCTGAGTCTCACGGCCATGAGCAAACGCTACGGAGAAGTGTTCCAGATCCAGATCGGGATGCGACCCGTCGTGGTTCTGAGTGGAAGCGACACCATTCGCCAGGCTCTCATCAAACAAGGGGACGATTTTGCAGGAAGACCAGATTTGCCCAGCTTCCGGCTCATAAACGACGGAAAGAGTCTTGCGTTCAGTACGGATCAAGCTGGAGTTTGGCGTGCCCGAAGGAAACTAGCGTACAGTGCTCTGAGATCTTTCTCCAAGCTTGAAGGGACGACCCCAGAGTACTCGTGCATGCTGGAGGAACACATCTGCAAAGAGGGCGAGCACCTGATCAAACAGCTGAACACCGTCATGCAGGCGGACGGCCGCTTCGATCCTTTCCGACACATCGTGGTTTCCGTCGCAAACGTGATCTGCGGGATGTGCTTCGGACGGAGATACCACCACGACGACGAGGAGCTGCTGAGTTTGGTGAACCTCAGCGATGAGTTCGGACGGGTGGTGGGCAGCGGAAACCCCGGGGACTTTATCCCCGCTCTGAGGTTCCTGCCGAGCACCACCATGAAGAATTTCATGAAGATCAACGCCCGATTCAACGCGTTCATTCAGAAGATCGTCACCGAGCATTACACCACTTACGACAAGGTACAGCACGCTCTCCATGTCTCTCCTACATCAACATGTGTCCCCTCTTCTTCATGTCTCTTCTACATCAACATGTGTCCCCTCTTCTTCATGTCTCTTCTACATCAACATGTGTCCCCTCTTCTTCATGTCTCTTCTACATCAACATGTGTCCCCTCTTCATGTCTCTTCTACATCAACATGTGTCCCCTCTTCTTCATGTCTCTTCTACATCAACATGTGTCCCCTCTTCTTCATGTCTCTTCTACATCAACATGTGTCCCCTCTTCTTCATGTCTCTTCTACATCAACATGTGTCCCCTCTTCTTCATGTCTCTTCTACATCAACATGTGTCCCCTCTTCTTCATGTCTCTTCTACATCAACATGTGTCCCCTCTTCTTCATGTCTCTTCTACATCAACATGTGTCCCCTCTTCTTCATGTCTCTTCTACATCAACATGTGTCCCCTCTTCTCCATGTCTCTTCTACATCAACATGTGTCCCCTCTTCTTCATGTCTCTTCTACATCAACATGTGTCCCCTCTTCTTCATGTCTCTTCTACATCAACATGTGTCCCCTCTTCTTCATGTCTCTTCTACATCAACATGTGTCCCCTCTTCTTCATGTCTCTTCTACATCAACATGTGTCCCCTCTTCTTCATGTCTCTTCTACATCAACATGTGTCCCCTCTTCTTCATGTCTCTTCTACATCAACATGTGTCTCCTCTTCTTCATGTCTCTTCTACATCAACATGTGTCCCCTCTTCTTCATGTCTCTTCTACATCAACATGTGTCCCCTCTTCTCCATGTCTCTTCTACATCAACATGTGTCCCC